TATTGCCTAATGCCTCGGTCTTATGACTCTTATTGAAGAATTGTCATGCAATAATAGTAGGTGACGTACTCTCTTATCTCACAAGTCATGTTATGCCAATCACCAAACTGCAGATTATATTGAATTCAACTTGGCAACAATTTTGGCATTTATATGATCAATGAAATAAATAAAGATTAATTATAAATAACAATTAGGGTTCTTCATCCTATGAACAGGAAAAAGGGTATAACAATCAATTCATATCATGCATTAATGTGAACAACAATGAACTCAACTTGATAAAATTTGGTTTTAATAGATGTTAAGCATTGATTTAGAGTTCACTGGGTAATAGGTGGTATATACATTAGGACTTTCTGCCTTGTATTAGTTTATTCAATTTTTTTTGAAAGGTATTAAGTCATTCAGTTTTAACGAGTTATTGTAAGAATTCAAAAGAGATAAGGACCTCCAAGTGAGGGTTTTTACTTTAGTCAAAGACTGACTGCAGAATGTGATAAGAATTTTACATGTTCAAGACTATTTTCCACACGTTTGTTTTAGCCAAAGACTCTTGCACATCACCTTATGTAAAACAAGTAAATGGTGTGAGTCAACAATATTGTGTCATATATAGTCCTCCTGCCCCATTTTATTTTTTTATTTGATTTTCATGAAATTTAAAAAAAAATAATTTTGATGTATTTTATATTAAAATTTCAAATTGTATTATACACGTTATGTTCCATGGATTTTAATCTCAAAAAAATTAAAAAAAATTATGAAAAATAAATTGAAAATATATCTTGTAGTAGGTGTATAACTTTGTCCTATAATACAAGATATAGTAGATATATAGCCAAAATCATTATCAGTACTCTATTATAAAATTAATTAAATTGTCATAATCACCCCTTTGCACGGGAAAAGAAAAACCTAAGGAAAAAAGGGTTGCAATTACCTTGGGAAAATGTCCTCATCAGATATATTATATACTTTGCATTAACATAATCTTCTAGTCATCATCATCAATCAACATCTGGCTTTCGTTTATTTTTGGACTGTTTGCAGCTTGCTCCATCATGGCATGGATAAAACATATTTAAATCCTTTGGTGAAGGATAGAGGGCGTAAAATTATATTTCAATCTCTTTTGAGGTTATCGCTCTCACCGCAGGGTAGGTAAATGTGGGACTTTTAAACGTAGATGACAAAGACTTAATTGAATGTTTATTCATCATTATTAGAAAAAGCTGTAATTTAATACCTATTTGAATATTTTGACCATCTTGGGGATTAAAAGCTGAGCTATTGGGGAAGAGGCATTATTCAATTAACAACTACGGGCATCATTGCAGAGAATGAAGCATCACTTGAATAATCCATGTTGTGGTAGAAGCATGAGAAGGTTACTGGCGAGTGAACATAGGCTGGGGAGAGTGTAACATCATCTCCCCAAGGGTCACGGTGAAGTGCCAGGTTTGGGATGAGAACCTCTAAAATTAACAGGCCGATCGAGTGAGCTCTCCCAATTGAATTTCTCTTCCAACTTTTCTGACAGTGTCAGTGACAGTTATAGGAGGATAGAATCTTTGGATTTCGTTAACGATCAAGTTCATCTGTGTACAAGATAAATTTAATTCAATAATTGCTCAGTACTGTAAACCGCAGAAAGGGTTAGAGGATATGATTTGCTTACAGTTTTTAATTTGTTTGGCAACGCCTTCATAATGTGAATTTTTTATTCCAAATATATACCTCAACCACGTCTCTTCTTGCTTTCTCTTGCCAACCTGTGTGAATTGCTTAAGCCGGGACTGTCTTCTTGTCCTGCAGTGTAGAATGTTTTGCACTGACATACCAAGTCTTCTATGGAAAGCCTGCTTTTCTTATCCACATCATGGTAAGGATTCACAAGTAATCCCAGAAAATCACTGCTGAAACTGTCAATTACTCCAATCACTACTTTCTCTTCTCTTTTCTTAACCATCTCCATCACAGATTTATGTATGCCCATTTTTAAGGAAGTTCATAACACAATTTGGAGGATATGTTAAGGGTTATTTTTAACTTGGGTTGTAAAAGTTTTGATCTTTACAAATTCATGGGGTTTGTTTTGGAGTGAAAGGTATACTCACATGTTTGACTATTGGAGGACTGGATTTTGGATTGTGCAGATGATTCTTTACTAGTTAGGACCCTGTGTTGTTTTCAATATTTTTCCTTTAAATATTATTCCATCACTTCTGTGAGATAAGATCCAGGACCCTCAGCCTGTTTTACTTTCTTGGACAAAAGCTAATTCATTCCTCTTTCTTGTTCTGAGCCCAAATGAGTTGCTCTCATCTTTTCTCACAGTCGGTGGAGCTGGCAAAGCAGACATTGGCTAGCTACAATATTTTGTATTAGAAGCTTCTGCATTACTAGGAACTAGACAATACATCCTTATTTCTCACGTCTTACAACTGATGGGAAGGATAAAAAACTATAACCCACCTAATTTCTCTTGTTTTATATTAAAATGATTGATCCTTGTTAAAATCAATCTGAATTATCTTTTCTTGTTTTACTCGTTAACCAGAGATACGCTCACCAATCAAGTGTGCCTAATCCTAGATTTTGCTGAAGGGAAGCAAAACAGAAACAAATGACATTGATTAATGTTAAATGGCCTATCTATATCTCTTTGTCCAAATATGCAGCTGCAACACACTGACTCCCGGCCTTGATTTGTGATGATTGCCTGGACACCTGAGGAAATTTCAAGGCCTTTGTGCTCTCTAGTTCTAGGAAAAATTGACCTAGAACGTCCATATTCAGACATTGCAGAAACTTTTGTGCTTGGAAGTTAATTATACTCAGGAGAGATTGAACTGCTATCAATAATATATTGTCTGGATTTATGTGTTAAATGCTGCTGATGCTTTCCGTCAGGTATGGAGCTAGAGCATTTTCAAAAGGGTGATCAAACAAAAAGAGATATTAAACAGTTAAAGGGTACTTTATATATAATTCAATTATCACTTATTTAAAAAATTAAATAAAATTTAAAAGACATTAAACATATAAAAAAATGCACATTAACAATAATGATTGTATTATTTATATATATGACTGAATGAAATTATAATAAGAGTCTCTCTCACTCTTTATGTGCAAGAGTGGAAGAGAAAATAAATTTTTAAAGTTAAATAAATTGTCTCTTTACTTTGGGTATCCTAACTCTCATCTTATTTTCTATTTACCTCTTAAATTGCTAATTAATATATTAACTTATTGAATTGAACTACTGAGATATAATATGTTATGATAGGCTATTAGATTGGACTATTAAGATATAATATGTTATGATAAGCTTAGATTTATATTAAAACTTAATAAAATAGTTTGAAGAATAAAACTCATTATTAAATAAAAATTATTTTGAGAGCCATTAAAAATAAATATAATAAATAAAATTGTATTGAAAAAAATACGATTATTTCATTCTATCAATTTGTATGTATATTATTATTACTTAAAGTTTGCAACATAAATGCTAGAATGCATTGGTTATTTTGAATAAAATATGATATATTGATGAAATTCTAAGCAACAATACAACACTACAACTTATATTTGAAAATTACATAATAATTTATTTATTTTTAAAAATTAAAATTATAAAAATAAAATCCACAAAACATAAAAAATAAGGATACGACAAATAAAAGATAGAATCCACATATGATATAATAAAAAAGAAAAAAAATATGATTGATGGTACGTAAAAATTTGTGAAAGAAAATCTATAGAGATTTAAAACATATAAGTAAATAGAATAAATATAATAATATAAATTGAAAAAAATAAAAAACTTTAAAATTGAGTCAAGCATATAAAATTATTTTGTTATTCTTTATTTGTATTAATTACTAAATAAAAAATTATTTTGAATGGATCGGTTAAGAAAATTTATTTAAAAAAAATTGGCATAATGCTCAAATAAGCCCCTAAACTATTTAAGAATATTCAAATAAACTTTTATTCTTTTATTGTGTTCTATCAAACCTCTGTATTTTTATTTTTAATCAAATAAACCCATATGACTAATGATCTACTAATTTTTAATAGTAAAAATGTTATTTATCAATTTATATTTATATGACATTGACATGATATTAATGTAAATGGTGAAAAATGTCATATGATTAAGTTATTATACTAAATTAATATGATATGCCATCATCAATTATGATATGCCAACATGCCATATCATAATCAATTAAAATAGTTTAGTATGTCACATTAGCGTTACGAGATATAAAATAATAAATGACATTTTGATTAAATCAATCATTAGTAATCAATGTTTATTTGACTCACAATAAAAAATATGAGGATTTATTTGATTCAAAATAAAAATATAAAAAGTTAATTAAATATAATAAAAGTATAAAAGTTTATTTAAATTTTTTTGAATAGTTTAGGAGCTTTTTGTTATATTATGCAAAAAAAAAAAAAACTTATATAATATGAAAACAATTTTTAAAATTTTGGGCTCTGCCTTTGTTTTTGGTACTGGTTATCAATGGGCAAATTATAGGCTTTATCCACCCTGAAGTTAACTGTTTCACGCCATTCACCTTGATTGCTCTAGTAATTCATTGGAAGTTGGGAAGAGCTAGATTTCCGAGGTGGACCATGCATCAAGAGCAGGGATATGATTCCGGAGTAGGGCAGTACCAGTGTACATTTGTGATTTACGCTTTGAACCACTTTAAACTGAAAGGCTCTGACAGCATATCAGGAACCACCCGATTTAAAAACTTGGATTGAGAAATAAGGATCCAAAACTAGTTTGCATACACTTGACAACTATTATCACATCGCTGATAATTAAGTGCTGTAGTACATTGAATACCATTACTGAAGACTATTTAACATTTTACCATCTTGGACACTAATAGCTGCACACTCCAGAATAAGCTATGCTAACCTAGAAGCAGCTAGTCTTATTAAGAACTTTAGGCATCACTCTATAGTGAATGAAGCATTACTTGAATTCCATGTTGTGGCTGAAGCATAAGTTGAGTAAATGGAGAGTGAACATAGGATGGGGAGAGAGTAAAGGTGTAGCGTTGTAGAATCATTGAGAGAGCAGTCTTTGTTTCTGTGGTTGCAAAGCTCATACCCACGCAAGATCGAGGTCCCAATGAAAAGGGAATGAATGCAGCTGCATTGTATTTGGTAGCTTTGGCAGTCCCTTCTGTGAACCTATCTGGTTTGAAAAGATGCACATCATCTCCCCATAAATCAGGGTCATGGTGAAGTACCATGTTGGGAATCAGAACCTCTATATTATCAGGCAGAACGAGCTTCCCCAAATGAACTTCTCTTCCAACTTCTCTAACGGTGGCAACCACAGGAGGATACAATCTTAAGGTTTCATTGATGATCAAGTTCATCTGTGTGCAAAACATAAACAAATAGATCAAACTATAACTCACGATTTAATTTATTAAATGCTAGTAGTGTACGCTATTGAAATGGTCAGAGATTGCAGTGTTGCTTACAGTTTTTAGTTTGGCAATGCCTTCAGAATGTGGATTTTTGTTCCCAAATACCTCAATCACCTCTCTTCTTGCTTTCTCTTGCCAATCTGTATGAATTGCTAAAACCAGGACTGTCCATGCGAGCAAGGAATTAGTGGTTTCTTGTCCAGCAAAGTAGAATGTTTTGCACTCATCTACCAAATCTTCTACTGAAAGCCTGTTTCTCTCATCCTCATCATGATAAGCTTTTACAAGTAATCCCAGAAAATCAGTGCCAAAGTTATCAGCTTCTCCGGTCAGTACTTTCTCTTCCCTTTTCTTAACCATATCCATCACACAATCATGAATCCCTTTAGCAAGTTTCTCTGATTCTATTTCATCAGCAGTCTTCCAAATCTTGCTGTAAAAGCAAACAAAAGGTATCGCGTGAGATGGCTTTTATGTATTTCCTCTCTCTTGAAATCAGGGACAAACTCAAGAGTCTAGATTAATTGAGTTTAGAGGAACTTACCTGATGCCAGGAATCCTAGCTTTATGAAAATTTCTGTTAGCAATTATCGATAACTTCATCAACATCTCGAAAATCTTCTCCCCTTCCAAGTAACTGCTACCAAAAGCTGTTCTCGATATAACTTCCGAAGTAAGTAACCTGAATTCTTCAAACACTTCGATCTCTTTGCCTTCATGGCCTTTCCAATTCTCCAGCATTGCCTCAACGCTAGCAATTACTGCCGGAGTCATGTTCTGCCAAAACAATTCTCCACACATTGTAAGAAACTATCTAAGATCACCAGAACTTTGCATTTATTTAATGTAGAATACTTAGAAGTTCTCTAATCGCAGCAATATTTTGCAGTAAAGTAGACTGTATTCGAAAGTTTTACTTTTAAGCTCTCCCCATGAAATGCATGATTTGCCAACTTCCTCTGCCTGGCCCATTTGCCACCTTCGGTTGCCACAAGCCCGTCCCCAAGTATCTTATGAATAAAGTCTTCGGCCTTCTTTTTTGGGAAAGCTCCTTCGCTGTTTCTCAGAACCTCTTTGACTAGTTCCGCTTCTGTAATCACCAGTTGAGGTCGAATTCCCTGCCAGGTAAGATAATTCTTCCCTAATAAAAGAAAAGGAAAAAAGAAGGGATTCATCTTTCATTTGAAGTGGAAGTTAGAAGCATTCCTCAAGAAAAACATCTTCAATTTTCTCACCGTAGATGTTGATCCAGGAGTAAATCTGAGGTAGCACTCTGGGAGCTATATCATGAGTCAAGGCCGCCATAGGTTTGCGGTATGCTTCCATTTTCATATCGGTAGATGCTTTGTTGTTTCCATGGATGAACTCATAAAGGGGTCCTTTGATTCCCTGTAGACTCATAGTATACTGTATTCGGAAAGGTATCCACCAATATCTGTGAAAGACCCTCAGTAGAGCTATGAGGCAGAACAGGCAACAAAAACTCGTGACAAGGATCAAAAGCTTTGCTGTGGAATTCATTTTCGTCTCTTAACAAAGAATTCAGATGTTCCTGTTATGATATTAAGCTTTTTTGGTTCTCTGTCTCTTCCACGGTTAGGATCAGATATAAATACTTCGAGGGCTTAAGCCAAATGCTCTAGAAGCCGGCCTTCGGCTTCATTTGGAATCATTGCATTTCAACAATTCACCCGTGTCATGATCAGTACTCTATTCTCGTCTAAAAATTAGATGTACGTGTCTTTTAATTTTGCCACATTCATAGTTTCCATCGCAAACTCGAATACTTCTTGCATTATTGTCATTTATAGAATTTTGTAGTAAGTGTATAACTTTACGCAACATATGTATATATTTTGTATAATCTGTCAAAATCAGACTGCAGAAGATGTCATAAGCATACCCTATTCTCTGAACGAGAAAAGGGAGTAAAAAACAGTCATATCTTCCAAACACCCGCAAAAAATGTCCTACATCAAAAGGTTACAAGACAACTAGTAACCAACATTTGACACTTCACACTTTACCTTAATATAATCTTCTGACCATGTCTTGCTTCTATTTAGTCATTGACCTGTTGCAGCTTGCAACAGAAGGAGATAATACTGCAGTTATGGATCCTGACATGATCAATGTAAAAGAAATGACAATAACAACCAAAGAGACGAGGTAATCAATATGAAAAGGAATTCAGCAAACAGCAGTGCTGCAATGGTTTACCATATGCCATTAGTAGATTGGGTTCTGCATATACATCAACCAAGACCTAAAAAAAAAAAAAACCAAGACCTGGCAAACAATCCTCATTAAATCTCAATGCACCAGCAGTAATGTTAACCTATTCCCCTTTCAGTGGCAGATAATGCTATAATATTACATGACAAAATTGCCTATACTCTCATGCGGTTATTTTATTGGATAAAAAATTTTTTAATAACAAAATTTGATTTTCTAACCAAAAAAAAAGTTGGTGCAAAATTGTCAAACTATTTGTTTGATAATAATAAAATTTTTAATTGTTAAATATTTATTAAAAAAAGTATTATCAATTGATATGATAAAAATATTGAATTGATTTGAAATTTTTTTATGTGATGACATATTGAAGTAATTTATTAAATTCAACTATCGATTTTTTAATTTTTTTTGAAAAGTGTTTTTATTAACACTAAGCCACCATGCCATTCAAAGTCTTTAGCAGTTTATTAAAGACTTCTACTGGCATCTGGCTTGTACAAAATGAAAAATATATACAATTACAAAGGGAAACTGCTTTAAAAAGAACAATAGCAATTTCCTTCTCTAACCTAAGCAATGAAACTAGAGAAAGCTCTCTACCCTTTACCTACAGACTTCTGCTATACAAGAACTAACAGGAAGCTCAAGGAAATGTCAATCACATCTTGGAGATGAAAGAGTTAAGTATACAGTACAGTTAATCAATTATCGAGCATCAAATACTGACAGAGTCATTTCATTTGTCGAAGAAGATACGTGCTTGTCTGATGAAGAATCTTCTTCCAGTGGACTTTTCTGAAACAAAACACCAAGTTGTTTGGGGTGTGGCAATTCAGTTTCAATTTCCAACATTAAAATCACAGATGACATACTTGGCTTATCCTCAAGATGCTGTTGTACACATAAAAGACTAATATGGATGCTTTAGATCACTTGGAATAGACTGCAAGACTCTCCTTAACATTTTTCCACAAGTTCTAAATAGGACTGCCTTCTTTTCATAATCTCCACGCATGTTCAACAATTATGCATAACGTTATAAAATGGTGTAAAATTTATTAGTTTTACACGAAAGTAACTTATTTAAACAACTCGGGCCCTCCTAACTCTGCAAAGAGTGGAGGATCACCTGAATTCCATGTTGAGGCACGAGTGTAAAATGGAGAACAGGTGAGTGAACATAAGTTGGGGAGAGGGTGAAGGTGTGGTGTTGCAGAATCATGGCCAGTGCAACCTTTGTTCCCACCGTTGCAAAGTTGAAACCAACGCAAGTTCGAGGCCCAATTCCGAAAGGAAAATAGGCAGCCACGTTGTTGTTTGTAGCTTTAGCCACCCCTTCTGAAAACCTCTCCGGATTGAACACATGAGTATCGTCTCCCCAGATTTGAGGATCATGATGAACTGCCAAATTCGTAATGAACAAGTTCAGATTGGCAGGGAGAATGAGTTTCCCCAATCTAACTTCTCTTTCACATTTCCGTATAAAGCCAATTGCAGGAGGATACAGTCTTAAGGCCTCGTTGATGATCATGGTTATCTGCTCATGGAAAAAAAGAATTCAGATGTGTAATTAATTTAAGTGCAGTGAGCTTTTGAGCAACATTGTTAATAACTAATTATCTTACTGTTTTTAGTTTAGATAAGCCATCAGGATGTGGATTTTGGTCACCAAACAGCTCACTCACTTCTGCTCTTGCTTTCTCTTGCCAATCTGTATGGATTGCTAAAAGCAAGACAGTCCATGAAAGCAATGAATTACTAGTTTCTTGTCCAGCAATATAAAATGTCTTGCACTCATCAATCAAATCTTCCACATGGAGCCTTTTGTTCTCATCGACATCATGATAAGCATTTAAAAGTAATCCAAGAAAATCAGTACCGAAGCTGTCTACATCTCCATTTTTCATTTTTTCTTCTCTTCGCTTGATAATCTCCATCACCGAGCTGTGCATCACTCTCAGAAGCTTATCTGCTTCTATCTCATCGGCCGTTTTCCAGATTTTACTGCAGAAGGAAATAACATTGCTCTATTTCGAAATTTGATTAACAGTATAGGGGAAGTTCGAATTTGAAATCCAAAAGAAACTCTACTACCAAATCAAGCAACTATTCATTCTAAAAACTCTGTGTAAGCTCTAAAAATCTGAGAATGGATGGTAAAGGTTAGATAACAATGTGCACTGGATTAGGCTATAGGTGGAAGTTACCTGATGCCTGGAAATCTTACTTTAAAAGCATTCCTTCGTGAAATCACAGAATAATTAATCAACATATCGAAAATGTTCTGCCCTTCTAAGTAACTACTCCCGAAGGCTGTCCTTGATATCACTTCCGAAGTCAATAACCTAAATTCTTCGAACACCTCAATCTCTTTCCCCTCGTGATGTTTCCATGTTTCCAGCATCTTTTCAACACTGACTATCATTTCCGGAATCATATTCTGCAAAAAAACCCAATCTCATCCACATGAGAAGTTCATTAACTGTCATGATTGCAATAGTAATCTTAATCCAAGTCAATTTTCCACCAACTTTGCTATGGAAAAAATGAACTGAACCCAGAACCAAATTTTAATGATATAGTAGGAGAGTTTACTTCAAGGCTTTCCCCTTGAAAAACATAGTTCAGCAATTTCCGGTGCTTTGCCCACTTTTCACCTTCAGATGTAGCGAGTCCATCTCCCATTAGCTTCATGACATAGAAAGGGAGGCCCACTTTGAGGTACGCCCTATCTCTGTTATTCAGTACCTCTTTGATTAGCGCTGTTTCTGTAATCACTAGTTGAGGTTGAGCACCATTCCAATTAAGATAATTCTTCCCTATTCCCAGGGGGAAAAAAAAAGAAAAAAGCAAATGGAAAATGATTTAAGAAATTTATTTCATTGATTCTTGGAACAGGAAGTCTGGAAAAAAGAATTCATAGCAAATCATACCATATTTGTTGATCCATGAATAAGCATGAGGCTGCACCCTGGGAAATATATCATGTGATAAAGCCATGGGTTTGCTCAAGGCTTCGTTTCTCATTTTCAAGATGTCTTTGGTGTTTCCATGGATGAATTTGTAAGAAGGGCCTTTAATTCCTTGCGAACCTAGTAGATATTGTATGTAAAATGGAGTCCACCACAACCTGTGTAGGAACCTGAAGAGAACGAAGAGCAGGCACAGACAGAAAAAGCTTGAGAGAACGATTATTGGATTTCCCGGTGTTGTCATTTTGCTTTCTCTTGATTTCCTCTTTCCAACTCTATCAATTGAAAACTTAATAGAAGGTTAAAGCTGCATCATTAGTTTGATATGGTCGAAAGTTGAAGACAGCATAATCAGATGCCTGAGATTTTGGCTCCACGTGAATCATTATTGTGATTATTTTTACACTCTTTCAATTTCAATGACCACCTGTTTCACTAAAATATTACTAGTGTCAGACTCAAACTTCAACCATAAACAAATCAATTATTTGGCGCCAAATACCATCCGCCTTCCGACCACATTTATTCCGTCAGAATTCTGTTGGTAATACTTAGTAGGCCAATTAATCGATATTTCGTCTAAAATTTCGAATGAAATAGATTTCGTTGAAAACAAACCTTTAATTTTGTTTTGTCTGCATGCTTAATTGTAGTATTTTTTTTTGTTTTTAACAGAATAATTTGTGAATTTTTTTTTATACTTAATGCTGGTGCATGTTTCCATTATCAAAATGGATTATGACATTAAAATTTTAAACAAATGGCATTAAAACTTTTAAAATGAGTCAAATTTTCATAGATTTGTCACTACAAATACGCAAAAACCTACATGTTTAAATTAATTATCAAAGTTCTAGCATTTGGTAGCTTAGAGTTTGCAAACTCGACTCAAACTCGAAAGGCTTATCCAATCTACCTTAACTCAAAGTCGATCCACCTTAATTTAAATCTATAACTCAACAAATTCAAAACTCACATATATGAAATAGAAAACAAACTTGAACTTGAAATGAATTGGAATTTAAATTAAGCAAAATATATTATTTTTATTTAATATTTCAATTGTAAACCTAATATAAATTGTTATAACCTAAATTCAAATTGAATTGAATTAATGTAAAAAAAAAACCAACTAGCTAAACCAAATTAATTTAAAATCCAAAGTAATCTAAATTTGAAATGACAAGAATTCAAAGTGGTCCAAACTATGAAGTGATTGAAATTGACACTATATTTTTATGTTAAATTTTAAGTTAATTAAAAAATTATAAACCTAACATAAATGATTATAATATAACCTTAATTCATCTCAATTTGAATTAATTTAAAAGGAATCGACAAGCTTAACCAAATTGATTTGAAATTTGAACTAATCGGAATCTAAAATAATTTGAACTCAAAATAATATAAAAAATTACTGAAAATTTCATGATCCGAGCTGTTGATGTATAGTTGGTGGGTATTCAATTAATCTCACCGGGGAAAGCAACATTTTTCCTTACTTTCCTTTGTTCGGTAAGAAGAAAAACTGGCCTTTTCATGTATTTTCCTTCCAACCTTGTAGCACAAGTCAAAGCCAAACCCCTTTGGAAAAATTGTGGTGTGTTAATATCAAAGTCTTGGTCTTTCTTTTGCTTTCATTCCAATGAACTAGGAAACTGATCGGCCTATCACCTTGGAGTCAAAAGTCTGTGTCACTGGTCATAGCAGAACGTGAGGAACGTGAGGAACGTGAGTAATGTTTTTGGGCCATATTCGCTTAACCTGCATAGCACGTTGGACAATGGAGTGAGAAGAAAAATACTAGTCAGTACCACCAATCAAACCGTCCTTTAGGTTCAATCAGCGGAATAATCGCGTAGAAAAATTGTCGGATCACTTACAAGAAGTCTATGTCGGTTCACAAAATGAAATAAAATAAAATAATTATTTTATAAAATTAAAATTAAATCAAAATAAAATTAAAATAGTTATGATGGAGTTTGATTTAATACAACGAAATAAACTAAAAATTATTATTATAATTTATTATAATATTTAATTAGTAAAAATAATTTTAAAATAATTAAAAAATAAGTGATAAAATTTTTTATTATAATATATAATTTTTTATTTTTATTTATTTTTAAATATTAATAATTTATTATTTAAATATTAACATTTTATATTAATAATTTTATAATTTAAATATTATTATTATTAAAATATTAAAAATATTAATTAATTTTTAAATATAAAATATTAATATTTTATATTATATAATTACATACTTAAATTTTTTATTTTAATTTTTTTCTTCATTTTTCTCTTTTGACCGGCCAGTGTAGATGTAGCTAGCATAATAGAGCATTGATTTGACGCTCCTTGTGCAATTAATTCTTTATACTCTATCAAAATAGTTAATTTAAATTTAATATAATAACTTATAAAAATTAAATTTATAATTTTTTAAAAATTAATAATATTAGTTTAATATATTAAAAAAGTTTTGTTATTTATGTTTATATGTAATTTAGTAATATTTACGTCGTATTTTTTTATTAATGTAATATTAAATTTAATAATATGATAATAATAATATGATATTTCATGAATGATGCAATCATAGTATTAATATGACATGACCAAGCAACAATATGGGTTTTGTAAGTATTGACATGAAATTATCCAATGTGAACTAATGATTTTAAATAAGATTAAAAAAGAAATAAATCACAAATATAATTTAGGGAATGAGTGTTATGAGACAAAAGCTAACAATTTTATTTTAAACGGTGCTGTTAAAAAAATGTTGTCAAATATGTATAAAAAATACCATATCATTATATTCAATGTTACATAAATAAAAAAATATTGTGTCAATATAAATAATAAAAAAATTAAATATTATTAATAATTAAATTGATATTATCAATTTTAGAAAGGATAGAGATTAAGTTGTTTTAAATTATTATACAGACGAAATCTCCAACTTTACTAGACTATAAGAATTAATTGCATTATTTAACCCTTAATTATTGGTCTACATATCGAAGACCTTCAACAGATAGTGGAAAACTTGTCGGTGGAAGGCAAACCAAAAACAGAGGAGGCATAAAGAAAACAGAGTATCAGCTCTTCTTCTATTTACAAGTATACAAAACCAAAACACAAGAAAATGTGATAGCAAAAAACAACCCCAAAGAGAAAAGCCAAAACAAAAAGGAAAGCAGAAGATCATCACTCATCACACAGGTACTGGTTATTATCCCCCTCTTCGTTTCTTCCGTACCTCCATTTTTCTCTGTTTCTCCTTTCCATCCCGTTCTCTAATGGTTTACTGTAAACAATAAATCGCTGCGTTGGCATATTTATTTGACAATTGTGAGGAATTGGATTACTGGAAGCTACAATTTTGTTTGCAATCTCATTTGTGATGTGTATATATATATACATAAACAAGCAAGACTTCTGTTCTAACTTGTCAATCTTACTTTTCTATTTCTCGCAGAGGTGCTGAGAATTGTTTTAGGGTCTGTATGGTTAACGTCCTGTGAATTTTGTATAGCTCCACAAGTGCGCTGATGGCTGTATTTTTGTAAGCCATTCCAGGATTAGTGACTGACCAGCTGATCTCCTCTAAGTTGAGCACTTCCTATCTTCTGTAAGTAAGGTTCGTCCTATCATGAAATCAATCAGTCTTAACTTTCCAAAAAACAAGCAAGACCTTGCTTAAAGTCTTTTCAAGTCAACTCACATATCCTTATTTAAGTTCTGGCCCCTTTTATGCTTTTGATCAGAAGCCATCCAAAACAAATAGCAGCTCATTTAGTCATCCGCTCTGCATTTTCGGTCAGAGCTTTCTCCTTTACCTTGTTTCCGCGGAGTTGCAGTTTGCAAGTGAAAGTGACCCCAACTCTGCTTATTTATGTAGCCGCTCAAGGTATTTTCTTCTTTCGGTTTCTCTCTCTCTCTCTGTCTTTCACTCACTCTTTTTGGCCTTTTCAGTCTCAGAAAATTTTTCTGAATACTGAATAGTATTGTTTCAGAAGCAAAGTTTCTGCAATTTTTTCTACTTATTTCTACTTGGCTTGCTTTATTTAATACCTAATTTCTTCAAAATATTTCTTTAATGATTGATTACTTAGGTGGAGTGTCCCTTCACAATGGGAGGTCGTGGCTTTCAAAAATTTATATATATTTTATATATTTTTAATAAGTTTTCAAAATAATATTTTATTAAATTATTAATATAAATTAAAAATAATAAAATGATTTTACAAATTCATTTAACTTTATCATAATTCTTAAATTTTTCTCAATTTTTTTAAATTTCTTTATACCTCTTTTCATCTCTTTCTCTTCCCTTTCTTTCTTTCATTGTGAAATTATATAAAGATAAATTTTTTTTATTATATTTATTTATTTTTTATAATTTTGTTTTACTTGATCATATATTTTAAATTTTTATAAATTTTTTTCTCTAAAGTTTTACAATCATTAATTATATATTTTTTCTTTTTTGGTGTGTAGTTCTATCTTATACTTGTAATGTTCTTTTTTTGTTATGTGTTCTCAATGATTTTAATCTTTAAAAATAAAAAAATTATTATGTAATTTTTAAATATTAATTGTAGTGTTGCATTATTGATTATTGTTTAAAATTTTATTAATATATTTTTTTATTAATTTTGATTATATAAGATAATTTTTTATGTGTTTGATGTTTTATATTTAGTTAAAAAAAATTATCTTTGAGTACTTAATCTTTAAATAATACTGATCATATAAAAAAATTATTTATCTTATATATTATATTTAATTATTTATATTTTATACATTTTTTTTTCATCTTTAACTTTCAATAATAGTTGGTTAGCTCTGTCTCTAGATATATATATATATATTTATATATATATAAATGTTATTAAATCATGAATTCTATTCTTTTATTATTTTAAAACTATTTTTACTATCCAGATATTACAATAAGATATAATAGCAATTTTTATCTCATTTTATTTCATTAAAAATAATAAAAAAATAAAAAATAAAATAAATAGATAATAAATATATAAAATTTTTCATAGGCGAGGTTTTTTGGACTCCTATGCTTGTGTTCGGTTTTATTGGGAGGGTTTGTTTCCTTTTTAATGCGGAATGGTTGCATGAGAGGTCGTTTTTTGGATTTGGGATATGTTGGAAGACGGAGTTCTTTGATTGGCTTGCACTCTCCATTCTGGTTTCTGTTTTGAGGTTGTGGAGGGGACGGGGGAAGAGGAATGGGATGTTGCATGATCTTTCGGGTGGCTGGTTTTGAATGGGGGGTCTGCTCCTGGCTCTGTTTCGGGTGGGTTGTTTTTGT